CCACCTTCCAACCCCCCAACTAAATTGTCGTAACATTCACAAGCCCACAAAGACGAACCAAATCTACCAGTGACACTCGCTAGAATCATCAACTAAATCACCTTGAAGCTTAAGGAACCAGACCCGATCGCAACTAATTCGAAACTCCTCCAACCCATCACTGCAAGATTTTGGCAACCACACCACCTGAGAAGAGCTGCTAGTTGATGCTCAAGAGACGAAGACCTTGTTCTTCAGTGCCGGAAGACTGACTCCATTGGTCAATTGCAGGAAGTTGAGCACATCAATTCGGGAATTTTTTATCAGCACGAGCTTGCCATCGGTGACTGAAATGAGATGACTGCAGCAGATCAGTATTCTCTTGTCGTGTTACTGTAAAATATGCACACCTTGAATTACTACACAAGTGCCTACTGATAAACACTGCGTAGATTCAATGATGATGATGTGATGAGGGACCAGATACGAAAATCAGTCCGTTCTGTAAAAGTAGACTGTGGCATCAGCCAACAGATTCACAGTATCAATCAGGTTCCGTTTCATGACAAACGCAAAATATTGGGAAAGTGTCAAGTTTAAGACCAGCTTCATCTGCTTCGAAGGCACAACCCACTAGAATATGCGAATACTTCGTGAAAGTAGTTCCCCTATCTTTGAATTGCATTGGGCTACAGGGTCTATGACAACTGGACAATATCACGTATCAAGTAATCACGTCAAAATTATGCCGTAGGTAATGTTTGTGACGTGCTGGAGGGATGTAGGGAAGGAAATTTTAAAAAAAAAGAATTATGACGACGATTGAAAGGAACGGCAAATTGGTCAAAAATCATAGAAAAGGTTGAACAGAATATGCATCAACTGGAGCATTTCGCCCATTGTGAGAGCAGTGTATTTCAAACGAAATATATACTGACTCAGATTTCCTCCATAATTGACCGTTCGGTCTAAAAACCATTCAACTGCAACACAAAACCAGAAATTCGGTCGACATCCCTCAGAAGTTCTCAGGCGATACTGTAGTACGTTTGATGAATCACTCAAACGAGATATGTCCCGAATTTATCTACATCGGGTTCAGAAATTCCTTTGACCAATGGGTTTCCGTGTTCAGTGGTCTCTTTCAAGAACAAGTAACACCGATATCGGTATTCGGGGATGCGAAAGCAAGGCTGTCTTAATGCAGGAAAAATGGACACGGCGGTATTTTATACGCTTCTCAGAAAGTCCTATGAAAACGAGCTCCTGAAAATGCCTACATGAATACATGCTAGTTGAGCCATCGCGGTCTAATCAAGCACTATTTAAAATTCTCGGTACCAAAAGAATGTTTCTCCACAAAGCTGTCAATGTTATGAAGCACCATCAAACCTGCGTAGAGACATAATTGAAAAAGACGTCCAGAAACCCAGGATAGCCCTGCATTACCTTAACACTGGACACGCGGCTGCGAATCAGTGGGCAATAAAGTGAGTTCACAAACCAAAATAGACTGCAGTAACCCTTCTCCCAGGAAGAATCTATGAAGAAAATGGTATCTAGTCGTACCTCAAAACGACCGCACGATTGGACCTGGTTGATTAGGAAGTCACTGATGGCTATCCAATCAAGTAGCTCGTTCCCAGCAGGGTATCTCTTGGAAAACATGACAGCATTTAGGACAATACAGTAGATGTTACATGTCACCTAGCGCAGACTTGTTCAGCTGCAAAATATGTGAACTAAGTATGACGTTGGGTACCAATGCTTAGAGATGTCAAACAGTACGAACGAAAATAGGTGAGGAAGCGCTGACACCTGAACACGTATGCAGGCCCTAAATACATTAATAGGGAGCAGCTATTATGAATAAACTGACTCATATTGAATAGGCATATTGAAAAGCTTGTAACATGACAAACAACAGTAACTTGCTCAGTTACCGTGAACAAGGAAACGCCGCTCACCTGACCAGTCGCCACCTGCGAAGAGGAGGGTGGTGGTATGTGTAAGCCACTACCACTAAGGAGACCTTGAGCCTGAGCGATTGCAGCCTGCAATTGATGTCGACTGACACGTACAGAGTTGCGCTCTCTAGAGTTCGGACCGGTGGACTGTGCTGTTCTCGTGAAGGAATCCGGGTTCGGCTCACCCGGTCCTCCATAGGGAGTGAGCAAGACTGGCGAGGATCCCGATGGTTGTCGGGAGGCGTTTGTATCAGTGTCATCCTCAGCATCATCTTCAAGATTCTCAATGAACAAACGCAGCAGTGATTAGTTAGAAGATTGCACCAAACAGTAGTAAAGCAGTGACAAAATGTATACAGAAGACGTTATAAAACACAACGAAAATTTGAAAGACTGTTAACGAAGACTGCAAAACACAACTGGAAGCTTGGGTTGGACACTGGTTTCATCCTGTCGGTGAAGCAAATCTATGCTGAAAAGCCTAGAAGCACTGTACAGTTATTTCATCCTTGGTGGGATCATGAGCAGTGCGTACCATAAGAAACTCCGAGTTTCGAAGCTGCGACCGTCCGGTTAGTGCCTGAACACTTACATGATTGGACAAATCTGACCCATCAACTGTGTGATCAGCTCTCATTACGACAGGACAGAAATCAATAAACAGTTCCGAGGGAGGGGTGTTTCACCGGATTGCGAAAATTCCTTCTGAGAAGTCGTCACTCGAGGAGCCAGTCAGTAGAAATAGAAATCATTCAGCTGGAGCACCCTTTTGGTGCCCAACTGTCATGCCACCAGAAGGAAACACAAGGGATGCGACACTGCCAGGTTGCCCAGGCCTAGGGAGGTCGAGAGACTGAGGTCGGGTTCAAAAAACGGACATTCCGGTCAGTAAATTCGCGCTCTAACCACTGACTGGCGAGGATCCCGATGGTTGTCGGGAGGCGTTTGTATCAGTGTCATCCTCAGCATCATCTTCAAGATTCTCAATGAACAAACGCAGCAGTGATTAGTTAGAAGATTGCACCAAACAGTAGTAAAGCAGTGACAAAATGTATACAGAAGACGTTATAAAACACAACGAAAATTTGAAAGACTGTTAACGAAGACTGCAAAACACAACTGGAAGCTTGGGTTGGACACTGGTTTCATCCTGTCGGTGAAGCAAATCTATGCTGAAAAGCCTAGAAGCACTGTACAGTTATTTCATCCTTGGTGGGATCATGAGCAGTGCGTACCACAAGAAACTCCGAGTTTCGAAGCTGCGACCGTCCGGTTAGTGCCTGAACACTTACATGATTGGACAAATCTGACCCATCAACTGTGTGATCAGCTCTCATTACGACAGGACAGAAATCAATAAACAGTTCCGAGGGAGGGGTGTTTCACCGGATTGATTGCGAAAAATCTGAGAAGTCGTCACTCGAAAGCCAGTCAGTAGAAATCGAAATCATATAGCTGGAGCACCCTTTTGGTGTCCAACTGCCATGCCACCGGAAGGAAACACAAGGGATGCGATACCGCCAGGTTGCCCAGGCCTAGGGAGGTCGAGAGACAGAGGTCGGGTTCAAAAAACGGACATTCCGGTCAGTAAATTCGCGCTCTAACCACTGAACCACCTCGCTTCCGCCAGTCAGTAGGTGAGCACGTGACATAGTTTTCCGGTAGTAAAAGATGAGTGGCGCTATGTCTTGTCCTGTTGAGAGCTAATCACACTGCTGATGAGCCACCCTAGGCCAATCGGTTGTGTTCCAGACGGTCGCGGGTCCGAAACTCTCTGAGGGTGGTGAGCTGCGCACTGTTGGTGATTCTCAACAGGGATGAAACAACTGTGCAGTGCTTCTCGGCTTTTCAGTATACACCTGCATCACTGACATGATGAAATTGCTACTAAATCATGTTAAGCCTAAGAGGGTACTCTACTGTAAGGCTCTTCCACATAGTCCGGTTGAACCTGGTACACCCTCCTCAAAAATGCCTATGTCGATCGCTCAGCTATAACACTCATTCGGTGCCTAATGACCATGCTACCCGAAGGATGCACGAAGGCTGGGATACTGCCAGGTTGCCCAAGCCTAGACAAGAAAAGTTGAGAGGTGGTGGCCGGGTTCGAATCAAGAACCTTTCGGTCAGTAAATTCGCGCTTTAACCACTTCAGCCATCCCGCCTATGTTCTACGGAGAAAGCAATCGCGCGGGGAGAATAAGCTCCTAGATACTGTGGGTGCTCTAAGGCGAACTGTAGGATGGAGTTCAAACTACCCGCTAACATTCCTACATATTATTCTAGTTTATACAGTCCGGCGACGATTATTCCGAAGAACGACATGAGCAGCGACTTTCGCACGTGAGAACCCATCATGCTTGGCCGTGTCGAGACTTCAGCTATAGACATCCGAATATGTAGGCGAACGTATTGCAACTACTCCGCCAACACAAGCTGAAGGCACCTGTATTATCACACCTGAGCAGGAGACGCTAATATTTTGACAGTGACCAAGTTATCGCAGATTCTATGGGGTGTGACAGCTTGCACCGAAAGGACGATATGCATATTGTCTAACACGCAAATTCCAAAATGTATAGGTGAATTTGCAAATTTCCTGTGGAATACGGATGCCCCCTATGGCGCCCGTATTATGGATTACGGTTTCGTAACCATTTGCATACACCGTAGTATTAGTCAGGTGGAATTTAAAATGATATAGGAAAGTGAATGATGAAGAAAGCTAGTTGCAAACCTTACTTGATCCACAGTATAATCCTGTGACCCCAAGGAAGTGGTAGACGTCATGACATTACGATGAGAAACCGGTTTTGTCTGAAAATTCTCATTCAGATTAGAAAGACTTTGAGTAGCAAGACGGAGCGCCGACAGAATGCAAGGATGGACGGCAATCAGTCTGCAGAGCAAGAGGAGATAAAACTTCTAGATGAGAGACTCACTTATCCAAAATGCCTTGATCCCTGAGCACCACGCTCAAGAATTTGGGATCCTGTAGAATCGAGTAAGCAGTTGTATCGCGGCCGATTTCAGGATGTGAAAGGATTGCTCGATCTATCCAATCACGTTGGGAAAGTAGTTGAATAAGCTTAGCATGAGTTAAACGACTACGTCAATTGAAAAGTTACCTTATAAAGTCGACCACTGCGTATGAGCCAGTGAAGATTGGCCATTGTTTGAGAAACCTCTGTGAGACTATGTCGTGGGGCTATCGAGTACATGAGCAATTCATACAAAGGAAATGGTATTACTTTTAACCGAAGGAATGCTGGTTTTGGGCTTGATGATAAATTGTAAAATTGAGAAGGAATCAATCTCGCATTCGCCCAAAGACTTGTTCAGATCCAGCACCTCTCCGCAATATACACATGCTGACGAAATTTCCCAGATGGTAAGAGAATGGTACTTACTAATATCCAAGCCATCCAAGTTCTCACCTGTCTCCAATAGCTGGGGGACTATATTGCTCAGGATCGAGGCCAGCAATATATCGAGAGGAAACACTTTCAGTCTGGTCAATACGGTTCACTTTCACACGAATGTACATGACTGCGAGACAGCTATAAACAGGAGTTAAGAAAGAGTTAAGAAAGAGGTACGTCAGTCCGGGGACTGAAGTTCTGTTACCAAGTGGCTTATGGCACAGTAGACTGACGACAGATTGAGGTTCAAACGAGTCTCGATAAACTGAGCTCACATGATCACTCCCAAGTGGGGCAAAACCGGTATTGGGCTGCTGATGAAATTGTTATTTCTAGCGCTACGACAGTAGTTCTGTTAACAAATAATGTGCATTGAAGTCACCGATTCTCGTGTTTACTGTGAGTTTCAGATGGAAGGGAGAATCGATTGTATTAAACTATTAGTCATCGGACGTAGTCACATCTGGTCACCCCGACCTAAAGCTGTCACCTAGTCGTGATGATATGGATTCGACCCTGAAATGATCCTGCGAGTTATACTGGCTAGAACTCAGTTCCTAAAGGTTAGCCTATGACAGGAAGGTCAACGTGGGGGCAACCCAACAAAGAACAGCAAGTTCCCATACTGCGGGAAATTGAATTACGAGCTTGTTTTGTTCTGTACGATGGAAAGTCGTTTCCCCCAACAGACCAGCATGCTCATAGTTATGGAAGCAGCGATTCTGCCTTTCTCCGAGGAAGGACGGGTTGGGAAAGGACGGCCCTAAAAACCGCACATCCGATCGTCCAACAGTTGACCGTGACCGCCAGCGCATTATTCAATATGGTTCAAGGACTTCTGAGACCAAAGAGTTCGGTGCTGCTCAAAAGGCCCCTTACTAGGCGCAGCTGTACTAGGATTAAGAGTAATGCCTTATTCCCTGCGTCCTCAAGCCAGGCCAGCCCCCTGCAGTCAAATGGATCAGACTGTTGAGTCCGAAAAAAAGCCTCTCAAAAAAACAACCGGCGCCTCGCGGCGCATACTTTTGAGTCGGAGGCTAGGGATAGAGTCTCCAAAAAAGGACATACTCCCACTGCCTTGTGCGTGCGACTTTTGACTCAAAGGTTCAAGGTAGAATACCACAAACAAATCCCTTCTTCGGTTTGAGCAACCGGGAATTATCATTCGTTCTTGTAGTTCTTCGCTCACCGTCCCTCCCACAGACCATCCCAACACATCAAATAATGCAGTACGGCTAACCTACCTGAAAGTCCCCTAACAACCGTTCTTTGTCTAAACAAAGAACCAAAACAAAAATAATCACTTACTAACCTCCACAAATCTGATCGACGTTATAGTTTATCAAACTTGGCGACCGACATCTCTTGCTGAAGCCTTGCATTCCCTCTGTCGATGTAAGTTGTATCTCCGAGACACAAGGCCGCACCTCGGTCATGCATCTCAAGCCTCTGGACGAGCTCAGATGCTCTTCAAAACACCGGATAATCAAGAGCTTAAAAATGACAGAGAACCCTGGTGGATTGCGAAGATCTAGGAGGTGGGGGCAACAGGAACGCTACATTTCAGTTGATTCGAGCAACCAATAAGTCAGCAAAACGATATGCAAGAAAAGATGAACGGAAATGTACTCAGAAAATCATCATCTTGAAGATTTGCAAGATTTGAAATGAAAACAGAATACCAATCAAATGGAGCTCCTCGACGGTCATCCGTCTTCAAAAAGGGCCCAAGAAGGTAAGGCAAAAACCATCACGGCATCAGTCTGGCATCCGTGAATATAAGGTGCACCCTGGCATTTTGTGCAGTTGGATCGATTATTAAGAGAAGGATTCGTGGGAATCAAGCTGGGTTTTTCCCTTGCCGAGGATTAACCAACTATATCACCTTGAGGCAAGTCCTTGAACCGCACCACTTTTTTCCATGTTTGTGATCTTTCTTGATTAGAAAGCTACTTTTGACTCCGACGATGTTCAGAAACTTTGGCGGTATCTGGCAATCAAGGGCGTTCCTTCAAAATTTATATCCACTTGAAGCGAATGGACATTACCGAGATGTGACGGTTTGTGTACCTCCGCGACCCATTGAGCTATACTGGGTGTGTCCATGCGAAACTCGCAGTGTTTCTTATACCGGGTTGGTCAGTGGTTAGAGGTCTCACAAACACAGCCTCCTAGTCCTTAAGGTTGGGAGTGGGAACATGTATGGAGTCTAATTCTGTAACCATTGAAAAGCAGTTGCGCTTCCCACCAAACGCTGCTGTCTTGTAGTCAGGCCTTTGAGTCAGAGACTTTGGTTGAGGAGAGGGTTTAGTGTTTAGAGCGTAAATTTACTGACCGGAAGTCCCTTGGTTTGAACCTGACTTCTGCCTCTCGACTTCCCCTGACAGCATCCCAGCCCTCATGTTTCCTCCGGGTGGCATAGTAGCTAGGCATGAAAAGGGTGTGGTAGCTGCAGCTGAACGGCCGGTAAATTCGTGCTCCAACTACTGAGCCATCTCGCCCTCTCATGGTGGATTCGTTTGGTATTGACATTGTAGTGGAAGTCGATGACTTAGTTAATCGATTATTGATCCCTTGAGTAGAATGAGAAGACTTCGCCTAAGGATAGGCTTTATTCAACATATAAGCACAGTATAGGCTGAAATGACAAGTGAAAGTGAATTAATGGAAATAGCAGTAAAGCGTAACTTTCACTACAGATATGTTTATGCATGTATATGTATTGATTTGATATGAAAAATAGTTGAGACCTCTTTTCCAGAAGACGTTGAACCACTTTAGGTAGATAGAGGTCCATCCGATTGCGTGGTTTTTCCGGGTGGAAGTCGCGTCAGCCTAGCCGACATTCTGAACAATTGTCCCGTGTAACTCGTCCACTGAGTCTGGTCCCAGTTTTAAATGATCAAGAAACATGCGCATTCCTGAGAAGCCTACAAAGAAGTTTCAAATTCACCTTTGAGGTTCGGGATTTCTGGTCCAGTAGCAGATGAAATCAAAGTTCGGCACACGGTGTTCACTATGTCCCAGTGGAGCGTTAATTATCACTTAGTCAACAAATTGTCTTTCGTTGGAGATGACCAAACCCAGAAGGAATTTAAGTTGCCTGCGCGGTGGGTGCGAAGACATATTGAGTCCAAGAGCTCTGTTGAACAACTTCGGTCAGCACCACCAAAAAAGTCCACTTGATCCGACGCGCCGGATCTTCATCAATGAGGCCTTTGGGCCTTTGAACTCACCTACCAGCAAGAGACGAGTGAAGTAAGAGCTGGGGTTTGTATGAAGAATTGGTCATTTTTCGATCGCCTAACGATTGACCGTGACCGCCGGCGCATTATCCAGTACGGTCGAAATACTTTTAAAACCAAAGAGCCCAGTGCTGTTCAGAAGGCACCTGCTGTGCGCAGCCGCATCAGGAATGAGATAGTAATGCCTTATTCCCTGCGCCATCAGGTTAGGCCAACCCCCTGCAGCCGAGCAGATCAGACTGTTGAGTCGTCAGCTACGGGCAGGGTCTCCAAAGAAAACCCTACATTCACCCACAGCTTCGTGGGTCGGACGTTTGAGTCAGAGGCTAGGGTCAGGGTCCCCGAACAAAACCCTACATCCTCCCACTGCCTTGTGGGTTAGACTTTTGAGTCAAAGGCTCAAGTTGGGGTACCTCAACTAAACCCCCTTTCTCGGCCTGGGCAACAGGGAAGTATCATTCGCCCGCGCAGTTTAGCGTCCACCGAAGGAAGGATACTTTCTATCGAGAGCTATCCAGGCTCGTCAGGCAAAAAGCACTGACATTGTGATCCTTGCAGGCGAGTTGAATGCTCAAGTAGGTCGTCTGAGCTCTTTCGAATCGCATTTGGGTGATCGATTCGGAGTCGATGCTCGC